TTGCATGCATACCATGGCCATTTTGTTTAGGCAACCAAGTGGGTGAAACCCTAGGGGAGTGCTTGTGTGCAATGTGTTGTCATTTTCATGCATTTGTTTGTCTTGTATTAGGTCATGCTATTTGTTTTGATTTTTGTCTTATCATACAAACCCTAATTTACTAAACATGTATATAATGCGATAAATTGCGTAAAGTAAATCTAAGCTATTACAACAATATTATGGGAGGGGGGATACAAGTTTTGAATGGGGGATATTGCTCAAAATAAAACCCTAAAAATTATTACATTCCAATTGAATTTATTATACAATAAATAAATAAGCAATTATTTAAATATGCAATAAAATGTATGTATGCAAAAATGTTTTGGTATTAATTTTATGTATGTAAAAATAAATTTATTTAAGTCTTAAAAATAAGAAAAATAAAATGATTATTTTTTAAAGGGGTGAAAACCCTAGTTTTTGTTTTAAAAGAAAATTAGATTTTCTAATATTTATTTGTTCATTTTTTGTACTAGAAATGATAAATAATATTATTAACAAATATTAAAAATTAAAATGTATGTGAAAATAATATTTTATGTGTAAGAAATAATAAAATAAAAATGTATGGTATTTTTAAATGTATTTACTATTTATTTAACAAAATAAAGTCCTATTTATTTATAAATTATTTTTTATGCCCAAAAAATAAGATAAAAAAAATAAAATAAAATACAAAAAATAAAGAAAATATTTGTCATGATTTTTTTGATGTTCAGAAAAATATTAAAATCAATAAACATAAAAAATATAAGAAAATATAAAAAATAAACAAAATAAGCAAAGGGGGGTGCAGATAGGAATATGGGGGGTGTGAAAAACAACAGGCCCAAGGTGCCAGGCCCAGGAACTTCATCCCTGTCCTCCAGCTTCTCCAAACGCGCGCGTTATGTGTACAATCCTGTATCTTGCTCTAGCTTGCATAAAATCAAAAACTCATAACACAAAAAATGTAGCTTATGATCTCACGATTCAAATGATATAAAATTCATGACCTAACTCTAAAAGACCAGGGAGAATTTCAGTGGCCCTAATTCCTGACCTAATTTTTTCAGCATGTTCAACAATCAAATACTCTTAGCTCAGTTAATATAAATGGAAAGTATGCATGTGTACAACTTCAACAAGTTAAGGACTACATTTTTGCTTCACAAATCGTGACTTAAGGATGCCTAAATAAGGAGATAGAGATTTGAAAAATACCTTGTTTAGCTGAGTTTGGATATGGCAATGTGGGGACTTTGAGTGAGGCCTGAAGATCGTGTGAGCTTCCTTGAAGTTCCCTCAAGCTATTCCAATGCTTAGCTTGCCTTGAGGATGCTTGAAACTCCTTGTAGAAGTCAACCTGCAACCTTCAAAAATAAAAATGGTGATGGCTGAAACAGGGCACACAGTTGCAATGCAATGGCTTGGATAATTTAGGTAGGATGTATGTAAAGTGTTTGAAGTCTTGAGAGGCAAAACGCACGAGCCAATATTGATTTGGCAAGAGTTCTACAGATGATGCCCTGTTTGGGCAGAAAAATTTGGTTTTGGTGTTTTAGAGTGTTTGGGATGTTAGGCAATCGTGTATTGGCTTGTGACAAGTTTCTGAAGATGTTTGAAATGAAGCCAGGCCCTCTCTTTATCAGATACACAAGTTCCTTGACTTTTGGCCACCTTTCTTGTTTTTGAAGAAAGGTTGAAGTGAAAATGAAAAAGGCTTGTACTTGCTAGTTCTAGGGCTGCAAGGGGTTGGTATGCTTTGCCTGATAACTGTGGATATTTCTTGCAACAAAAGATCAGGCCCATGGCTCAAGAATTGCAAAGTTGTAAAAGTCTTGCTTTATCAAAACGGTATTATGAACTTTATGCCATTTTTGGAATAATTCTTTGTGCAAAGCTCCAAAAGTGAAAACAAAACCTTTATCCACTGAGTTAGCATTAAATTAATCAGTGTAGAAAGGATTAGGACCTGTAATGTAAGGTACAAGCATGCTAGGATCTGATTTGCAACTTGTAACATTGTGAAAATGGCTTGCACAAAAGTGACAAAATGCCATTTTCTCTTCTTCGATTCTCCCTAACCATAAATGATCTTGGAGAGTTCTTGGACATTTTGGAAAGCTTGTAACATGATCTACAATACATCTTTGAAATTCAACTTGAGATACCTCTTGGAACTAGGTGAAAAGTTGCCATGAAGTTAGGTCAAAAATCTGCCTAAAATAGGACAAAATTTCACTAAGTTATTTAGTTTATGGACCCCTATTCACAAAATCATAACTTGAGATCCAAGCATATTTTGGGAAAACTTTGTGAATAAAAGTTGTATATTTTGTGGAGGACTACAACTTCCATTTTGAAAGTTTTCTTTGAATCCAATTGCATCATGGTGAAAATGTTGGGAAAAAATAAGAAATTTTCAACACTTAGAAAAATTCTAAGTTATGGAAAATTTCAAATTGAAACCCTAATTTTAAAAAATTAGGTTTCTTGGTCAACAGGTTTCACATTTTTACATATCTTGATGAATTATGACCTTTGGCACTTGATTTTGACCAAAAAGTCAAAGTTTGACTTTTCAGTGTACAGTTGATTTTTGATCAGTTGGCTGGAAAATTCATCTGTCAATCCTATGCATTTGAGATCTTTTGAACTATTTGATTAGGTCAAGATGATGCCATTGAGTCCTTGAAATCATGTTTGAACCCAATTGGTCATTGGCTAAGTTAAAAATCAGAAATTTCCCTTTTTCAGTCAAAACCCTAATTTTGACCATTTTTCCCTTTTGATGATTTGATCAAATTTCTTGAGGAATTGTGATCCAAACTTGATCAAATGGTACATAAGAGCTTGGAATGTTTTTTTGGATAAAAAATTATGAAGTTTGACTCTAAATTTGCTATGGTTGACTTTTTCCCCAATACAGCTGATTTTTAGGTCAACTGTCCAATTGACTGGTCAAAAATTTGATTCAAGGCTTGAAACTTGGTATGAGCAATCTTAGGGGTCCAAGATGGTGTATGAAAGTCAAATGAAGTATTTACAGTCCAAAAATCCTTGTGCAAACTCAAACCCTAATTTCAGGTTATCAGTGCAAGGAGATGTCTTAAGCTGAGCAAACCCTAATCTAGTCTTGAGTCCAAGAAGATCTTGTGAGGAAAATCTCGATAAATGAGAGGGCAAATTTTGGGGTAGAACACCCGGTAAATTAAAAACTTACTTTTTTCTTACCGCTTTACCGCTTCAGCACTTAGTAAATTTAATGCTAAGTCAGATGAAAATATATTCTTAGGGTACTCATCTACAAGTAAGGCTTATAGAGTTTATAATCATAGAATTTCCTTTGTATAAGAATTTATTCATGTTACATTTGATGAGACCTTACCCCAAGAGATGGGGAAAGGTATTTGTTTTGATGTTTCAGGTGTGATAACATAAAAGCTGATCAACGATGAAAATTCCAAAGAGGATCCAACTCTTTCAACAAGGGATGAGGCCATTAATAAAGACAAAGAGGAAAGCTGACATGAGGATGAAAAAAAGAGACCTCAAACCAGTTTCCTCAAGATTGGATAATCACAAAAGATCACCTGTTAGAACAAGTTCTAGGAGATATCAAAAGAGGTGTAAGTACTAGATCATAGGTTAATAATTTATGTAAGTACTCTGCTTTTATTTCTCAGATTGAAGCTAAATCGATATATGATGCCCTACTTGACAAGGGATGGTTACTTTCTATGCAATAAAAACTTACCCAATTTAAACATAATGACATTTGGGACTTAGTTCCACGTCCAGTTGATAAAAATGTCATAGGCACTAGATGGGTATTTAGGAATAAGATGCATTAAAATGGTGTAATTATGAGAAATAAATCAAGGTTAGTGGAAAAATGATATAGTCGGGCATAAGGTATATATCACGACAAGACTTATTCTCTTATAGCTTGTCTAGAAGATATTAGACTCCTTTTGGAATTTGCTTATTTCTGGGATTTTAAGCTTTATCAAAAGGATGTTAAGTTTTCTTTTCTTAATGGTCATATAAACGAAGAGGTTATGTCTTACAACCCCTGAGTTTTGAAGATCACGAGAATCCTAACCATGTTTTTAAACTAATAAAGAGCCCTATATTGTCTCAAATAAGCTCCAAGAGCTTGGTATGAGAGATTGAGTAGATTTTTTATCAAACAAGGAATCAATTGTGGAAAAGTCAACACCTATTTTTTATTAAACATAAAGCAAAGCATGTTCTTTTGGTTCAAACATATGTAAATGAAATCATATTTGGTTTTGCTAATGAGTCTCTCTATCGAGAGTTCGCAAGTTTAATGCAGGGTGAATTAGATATGTCTCTTATGGGCGAGCTAACATATTTCGTTAGATTGCAAATCAAGCAAGCCAAAGAAGGCACTTTCATAAGTTAGGTGAAATACTGCTTAGAGCTTCTCAAGTAGTTAGATATGAAATACTCAAAAAGTATCTCGATACTCATAGCATCTAATGTTCTTATTAACAAAGACGAAATAACAGTGGACTTCGACATTACCAGGTATAGAGGTATGAACGAATCTTTATTCTATTTAACTGTGAGTAAGCCAGATATTAGGTTTAGCGTGTGCATGTATGCTAAATATCAAGCATCACCTAAGGAATCATATTTTAAGATCGTAAAACATATTTTGAGGTATCTTAACGGAACCTTACATTACGGTCTTTGGTTTCCTAAAGGTAGTTCTTCTAGCTTATTAGGTTATTCTTATTCAAATACTAAAAAATTAAACCATTAAACCATTTAAAAGCATAATTCTAAAAGACCACCAAAGTGAATGGTGCTCATAAAGTCTACGCAACAAAATTCATCATCCTATAAAGAATGGAATAACAACAACACAAATATTGTTTGAATAATAAAAATAAAAAGAAAACATAAATATAATAGTAATAAAAACATAAAAAATAAACCCAACATCAACCACTCAAGTCATAAACACTATCCAAATCAAATATCGATTCTTTACTTTCCTCCTCCTCGTCATCACTAGCTGCCTCCTCCTGAACATTTGGCCTGCCCTCAGACCAATTAGCAAAAGCAATAAATTCTTCCAGAGTACCCAAAGGGTGGGGAACTTGAGGATTACCAACATAAAGGTAAAATTGCTGCATGGACTCATGCATTAATAAGAAAGCATATTGATGGGCTTCATGCATGGCCCAAGAATACTCAAACCAGAAGGTGGCGATGCTGCCAGCGGAATAGTAGTTGCTATGGGAGTCTCTTTTTTACGCACATGATAATTGTCAATGTAATTATCATTGAACACCCCCTCAATTACCTGATAACCAACAGATGGAATAAACACTCGTGCTCTATTGCACAAACCCATAATTAACCCAGGATAGGTAAGCTGACATGGAGTCCGATCACCTATCTTAGTACCATTCAGAGCAACCTTCTTCAACTCATTGGCTATAAGCCTAGCCACATCCATATACTTTCCCTATAAGATGCAAGCAAGAAGACCCCCAACCTCCACCAGAATGGAAGAAGTATGACTGCGAGGCCTTATGTTATACAAGACCACAGACATGAGCAACTGAGCTTTTTCCTTCAAGCTACCTCTTAAAAACTTTTGGGGCCTTCCTCCAGGACTTAACTCATGAATTCCCCGGCAAGCACAACTTGTTTTTCGAACTTTCAAAATCTCATGCCTTTCTAGCCAAGATATCATGATACTTGCATAGCTCATCATCGACTAAGGCTGAAGGGTTGCCAAGGTATTGATTAATGGAAATTCTGGAAAAATAAATCTCTTTACCTTGCACCCAAGTCTTAAACTCAAACTGGACACCCTCTAAAGGTAAGGCATTCACATAAAACTCGCGAATGATTTCCAAGTGCAATTTTGGTTCAGGTTCACACAATTTGTCCCAATTCCAATCATGAAACAACTTAAAACAAGACTTGTAATACCCTTCAAGCAAAATCCGCACAAATCTTTACGTCCAAACTTTGCTCTGCTCCATCTTGTGATGCCTCTCCTCCTTCTACGGCCCCAAAAATCTCTCTCAGTTAAACGGAACAACACGGGGTCCTTACGAAGAACCCGCACCAGCAGAGGTCTTTTGCTTCTTCCTTCCTAAAAGTTTAGGACCCATCTGAAAATTAAAAAAAAAACACAACCAAACAAAACACAAATGTCAATGAAAATTTATTTCCTGCAAGATCAATGCCATGTAGTCTTAAACAACCATCTCAAGCCAGAATTAACATCACAGAATAGAGTAAAAATTTTGAAAACTCCCAGGCCGCTCTTAGCGCGAATTTCATGCTTAGCCCTCTCTGTGAATTTCAGAAAAAAAAAATATCTCTCTATAATAGAGTTTTGCCAACAAACACCTAACTACATACTATCCTAGATATCATTATTTAGACAGATAATCATTCACTATCAACAATTGCATCCTATTTTTAACTTAATCAAAAGAAAAACTAACCCTAACTTCCTAAATCTAACATGAAAAATAGATTTTAAAGGAAAGAATTGAAATTTAAACATAACAAACCTTAGAGAGGATGATTGCAAGAGAGAACACCAAATGATTTGCAGAAAAATGAAGAATTAGAAGTGTGGAACTTTTTACTTTGGTTGAAGTAAGAGAGAAAGAGGAAAGAGTTTTGATAAAGTGATGAAATGAGAGGCCAACAATGACTCTCACAAACCCTAAGTTCGTGAAAGTGGTCTGGGTTAAAAACTTGGGCCTCAGTCAAAAAATTTTTACTACAGAGTGCGCTAAGCGCCAAATTCTCTGCCAAAATAGTATTTTTCAGCCTTTAGACTGCGCTAAGCATGCACAGAGGGCGCTTAGCCCGCTCTGCAGAACATATATTTTTGATTTTAAGCACTACAGCCCGCATCAGACCTGGTTAAATACTACCAAAATAATATTATGACTAAAAAACAGTAAAACTCACAAAATTGGGTTTCCTCACAATAAACGCTTTTAACATTGTTATAGCTTGACGGTCTATGGTGATTTCAAAGATCACCAAGACGAATGATGTTAGTCTCTCGATTAAGTTCACCTCTAAGATAAATCTACAACCTTTTCCCATTCACTGTTCAAATCTCTTTTGAAATCGGATCTTCCAACACAATTTCTCCATAATGTTTCACCTCCTTAATCATGAACGGACTCGACCATTTGGACTTCAATTTTCCTAGAAAAAGCGTTAACCGCGAATTGAAAAGAAGCATCATATGGTCAACTTGGAAATCTTTTTGTCGAATTTTCTTGTCATGGTAGAATTTGACCTTTTCCTTGTAAAGCTTGTTGGAATGGTAGCATCATGGCGCATTTCTTCTTACCCCTGCAGTTGAACTTTTCTCTTTTCTCCGGCCAAGTTAGAATCAAAATTTAAAAAATCAAATCCCAAAGAGCCTTGTGTTCTATTTCAACCGGAATATGACAGGTTTTACCATACACCATTTAGAAAGGTTTCAGACCAATCGGAGCCTTGTAAGCGATACGATAAACCAACAAGCCTCATCTAGCGTAAGAGACCAATCCTTTCACGAACTTGAAATGGTTTTTTCCAAAATTCTTTTCACTTCCCTATTTGATACCTTTGCTTGACCATTTGCTTGTGGGTGGTATGGTGTCGCCACTTTATACTTTACACCATAATTTTCCAAAACCTTTTCAAGAGGGGCGTTGCAAAAGTGCGATCCACCATCATTGATTAACATTTGAGGTGTGCCAAAACGGGAAAAATATTTTTCTTTAAGAACTTAATTACCGTTTTTCCATCAGCTCTTTGATAATTTATTGCTTCCACCCACTCAGAAATATAATCAACCGCACCAAGAATATACTCATTCGAAAAAGATGGAGGAAATGTTCTAACGAAATTGATGCCCCAACAATCAAAAACTTCTACTTACAACATGCTATTCAAAGGCATCTCATCCTGTTTCCCAATTCCTCCATTTCTTTGGCATTTATCACAATTCTTAGCATGTAAGTAAGCATCCTTAAACAAGAACGGCCAATAAAAGCCCGATTGAAGGACTTTTGTTGTTGTACCCAAACCATTAAAATGGCCTCCATATGGAGAATTGTGACAATGCCACAATATGCTTTTAGACTCTTCCAATGACATACACCTTCTTAACAAATTATCACTTTCAAGCCTAAAAAGATAAGGCTCATCCCAAACATAAAATTTCGCATCCGCCAAGAATTTCCTCTTTTGGTCCCAAGTTAGATTTTTCGTATCAATCCGGATGCCTTGTGATTTGCAAAATCGGCAAACCATGGTCTAACTTGTACCCTGTACAATTTTTCATCAGGAAATTCTTCTCTAACTTCACTTTGTTTGATTGTGACTTCTACATTGACCAAGCGGGATAAGTGATCCGTCGCCAAATTCTCATAACCCTACTTATCACGAATTTATAAATTAAATTCTTTCAAGAAAAGGACCCATTGAATAAGTATTTGTTTTGAATCCAGTTTGGTGAGAAGAAACTTTATCGCTGCATGGTCAGTGTACACCACAACTTTCAAACCAATGAGGTAAGACCTAAATTTCTCAAGAGCATACACTATTGTAAGAAGCTCTTTTTCAATTGTTGCATAATTTATTTGAGCTTCATTTATAACTTTACTTGCATAATGTATGGCATGAAAAAATTTGTCTTCCTTTGACCAAGCACCACACCGACGACATAATCACTCACATCACACATTAGTTAAAAATCAAGAGTCCAATTAGGAGTGATGATTATGGGTGTGGTGATCAACTTTTCTTTCAAATTATTAAAAGAATTTAAACAACCATCATCAAAGAGAAAAGATTTATCTTTGTTGAGCAAATTTCTCAAAGGCTTTGCTATCTTTGAGAAGTCTTTTATGAATCTCCGATAGAATTCCGCATGACCAAGGAAACTTCATATTTCCTTCACATTTGTTGCTTGATCAACTTCAAGGACTTTGGAGGAGACTTTGTGATCGAGCACAATTCCTTTTGTAACCATAAAGTTGCATTTTTCCCAATTTAGCACCTAGTTGGTTTCCACACACCTTTCAAGCACGATATCCAATTTTTTCAAGCACAATTCAAATGAATCTCCAAAATCAAAGAAATATTCCATAAAAACTTCAATGCTCTTTTCGATTAAATCCGAGAAAATAACTTGCATACACCGTTGGAAAGTTGTCGGTGCATTACATAAACCAAATGGGCATTCTTCGATAAGCAAAAATCCCAAAAAGACATGTAAAAGCGGTTTTCTCATGGTCCTCCGGGTTAACCACAATTTTGTTGTGTAATACGGTGGGAGAACTAACTTTTGGGTTTTCAATTTTATCGCAAATATTGCGGATAACAAGAGTTTCCACCGACTTTTATTTTATCCAATAAAGGAAAGGGTGAAAAGAACAGGAAAGACCTTTTGATAATTTTCTGAGTAAGGGGGTAGGTTATGAAAGGGGAAGGTGTTAGCACCCTTTTTATTCGTAGTTATCTACAGGCGCTTAATCGCTAACTCACTTTGAAAATGCTTTATGTTTGTGTATGTTTTCAAATATTTTGAAAATTCCTAAATGCGGAAATTATATAATGATTCTTGTATCGTTGAGAATGTATACCAAATGTTTGTTTTGAAAATATTTGTTGGAAGAAAGTGTTTGTTTTGGAAAGTGTGAGGTGTGAAAATTGTTTTAGTTTGTGAGCAAGTGATTACGAGCAATCTACCTACTCAAAAGGTCTTTGTTCTTTTCCTCATCCTTTAGATAATGCTATGCTACTATTTGTTTAGTAGGAAGCCCTATTGTTGGATGTGAGGGACAGACGCGGGTCATCGTACAGTCATAGAAGGCAACTTGTAGGATGCTTAACAATTTCTGTAAGGGACTAAGATCGTTTACCGAAGGCAGCATTGAAGGGTCGTCGAGGGACTACGATCTTAATCGGAGGTCCTTGCTAAAGCATCCCACGTTCGAGGGACATGACTGTTTAAATCCGAGGCAATAAGTGAGAGTCACCCTAGAGGTTTGCGTGTGTGAAGTGTTTTAATTTCAATTATTTATCTTGAGATTAGGTTTTCTAATGTTTGTTCTTTTTACATCTTTCCATGCACGCCTAATTCATCTAGCAGTTAAATATATACAAGTGCAGAAAATGCTGGAAATAATCTACACTATTACAACGCTTTGGGGATGGGGAATACAAACCATAAAAATGGGGAGAAAAAGCAGTAAACCCTAATTAAAGCTATTACAGACCATTGGTAGTTATAATAATTATAAAAATATTAAGGCGAAAGATAAAGTGCACGAAGATGGTGAAAAGGGAAAAATGTTTAAAACCTAAAAAATCTAAGTATTAGAAAATACTTTTGAAGTTTTGTTTAGAAAAATGTTTTATAATAATAACTCTTAGTTCTAATTACTTTACAAATTAAAATAAAATAAAATAAGATGTGATTAAATTAAATTAATTTTAATTATCAAAAATTAAATTAATTTATCAAGAAACGACTAAATCTATTTTTTTAATGATTTTTTGTGATCAAATAAAAATTAATTAAGCGAATAAAAATAGTTAATTAAAAAAAGTGAATGGGCCTGCAAATAAGTAAAATGGGGGGTGAGAAAGAAAAAATGCTAGGCCCAAAACAGAGGGCCCAGGCGCCTGTGGTGATTCCCTGTGATTGACCTCAGGAGGTGTATCATAGTTATGGCT